ACTTGTTCTAAGTACTAAGACCTTGGGAGCTCCAGGCCTTTCCTGATCAGGAGAGAAACAGGGAAAGGTGACATTAGAAAACAAGGGCTGTAACTTCTCCCAGTTCCTCGTGAAATAATGTGTGTTTGTGCCTGAGTTTCTAGTCTCCTTAGCCAAAAAAAAAATGCTGTGCGCATGGCTGTTTGATTCAGAAATTATGCAAAAAATGCAGAAACTTTAGACTCAAAAGGAAACAAGTTTCTAGTCCTCATAAGGAGGGCTAAAAATCAGGGAGAAAAAAGATGAGCAAAGCCTTTGACATGTGTCTTATAAAGAAAGGATCATAACAAAGGTGTAATCAAGCTTAAAAGTAAACTTGCGTGATCTGTCTAGCTTCTGGCATCCCCTATTTACTTTTATTTTTGCTTGCGTTTGCCTAAATGAACAAAATTGCATGAGACCACAAGTTTAATGGTTGACAAATTTGTGCATTCGCCTAACCGAATGCACAAACCCTTGACAGGCTTTCCTTGATTATGAGTTTTTGCAGATGATGTCTGTCCTTGATGCTTCTGGGATATGTGGTTCCTTTCGGACTGGCCTTCTCGAGTCTCTGGGCCCTGCTGACGTGGCGCGTGGGGGCCTCTGAGGATGAAGGAATGTTAGTGGGCGGCTCAATGATACCACAGCCTGCTTGAAATCAAGGAGGGGGGCGGTCTTTTGGAGAGAGTGCCAGAGAGCTGGAGAAGGCGGATTGGTTCACTTTGTAATCTGCACCTTCAATTCGGGAAAGTGTTTCTTAAAGTGATCCCTCCCCCCCAATTGCTGGCATGCTGACTGCCCTTCCATAAAGATGTGCACAAATGACTTTCCTTGGATAAAATCTCCCCTCCTGACAAATTGCTTTGTATTTGGTGAGAAGGGGTTAACGTATGAAAAATGGAGCCAAGTTCTGGGATTTTTTTTCCCTTGCTTGGTGTCAGGTTATGAGTGGCAGCGAGCAGGAGGAGGTATCCTGTAGACCAGCCATTATTATTATTGTATTTTTTTCATGTATAAGACTATACTTTTCATTATTATTATCGTATTTTTTTCATGTATGACTATACTTTTGTCTAAAATCTTTAGAATAAAAATTGAGGGTCGTCTTATACACGGAAGTAAGCTGAGGAAAGAACAAAAACAAGTGGAGGGGAAAGCAGGGATCAAAGCGATCCTGCAGCGCTTTGATCCCTTTCCCCCTACACTTGCTAAGCCCCACTTAGATTTCTTGATTTGGGGTTAGAAAAGTGGGGGCGTCTTATATACGGAAAATAGAGTATACATAAACACAATATGAAAGAAATTGGGACTGAATTAGGATCGGGTCAGTCATGTAACGAACCTTATAAGCTGGTGAGGGAAGATGTGTTCCCAATCTGCCCCCCCTTTCAAATGTCCCATGGGGCCATAGGGTCCTCCTTAAGAATGGCTGCCGTAGACCATCTTGGCGGCTGCCATAGGTGTCATCAACATTCAGGCTGCCCTTTGGCTCTGTAAAGCTTGGCATCTTTTTATTTTCCAAGCTGGAAAGTAAATGATGTGCAGCAGTATCAAGCCATTTCCTGGCATTCTGAACCTTGGTTAAAGAGATACCTTCGTAGACCAGATGATTTTTGGAGAGGTTTCCTAGCATTCTGAACCTTGGTTAAAGAGATACAGTGTTCCCACCTTCGTAGACCAGATGATTTTTGGAGAGTTGAATGTCAGTATTTGCAGGATGTAATCACACAGCTTACCTTGGGACTTAAGATGTCCAAATGGGCAGAGCTCACTGGGTTCCTAATGAGTGGATCAAAATGGTTACTCAATAGACGATCAGATTTTTTAAAAAATGAAAGTAATTTTAATAATGGCACTCTGTGCATTGACTTCAGCGGCTGATCCCACCCATTCTTTGGAACAATGAGATCTAGAAAGCTGTTTTTCCTCCGTTACAGAGCGGCAGTAATCCCAGTTCACCCGTCCCGCTTTCTGGCAGGCCCCGGCAAATTTTCTCATTCTCACCCAACTTGAATGGTTGAAACATCCTGTTGTTTTGTTCTTTTTAAAAAAAGGTCTCTGGTCTTTGAGGGAACTGTCTCATTGTCTTGTTTTTTTTCAGAATGAAAAAGGCAAACGTTGACCACAATAAGAGAAAGTTTCAAGGTATCTTTAATCTCCACGGGCCACCTCTGGCATCCAAAATGGGTTAAAAAAATAGATAACACCCAGAGCTAATGGTGTCTCTTGTTGTGATCTTGGGGCCCATCCGGATGGTTGCAGGGAGAGGGGCGTTCCTTAGATGGGGAAGGGATGCCCGGAGAAACCACTTGGGAGGGGCTGCAGCTTCCACGTCAGCCACCCCACTTCAGCTGTAGGGAAAGGCCACCTGCAACAAACCAGCCAGAAGCTTCGTGAGAAATTCCATGCTAGGTCACCTTCTTTGGTTTGGGTATCTCCGTGTTGTGCGGCGCTTGCGTCCTGCAGCCGTTCTCCCCCACGGCCCCTCATTTCATTGTTCTGTAGAAGTTGGTGTCGGTCCTTTCTCGCAAGGAAGGGCCACTCCCTTCTTGAGCCAACCGTTCAGTTTTGTCCCTTGGGCTTCTTTCCCTGTAGAAGATCCTAGATCTCCCTTCTTTGTGGGCTGACCTCACCGCTTCTCTTTTCCATTTTTTTTCCTCGGGATGCGTCTACACCGGCAAGCATTGGTGATGCAGAGTCTGCCCCCTCTTACAGTTGTGGTACTGCACATACCGCATTTTCCGTGAATAAGACTATGCTTTTGTCTGAAATCTTTAGACTAAAAATTGAGGGTCGTCTTATACATGGAATTAAGCTGAGGAGAGAACAAAAACAAGTGGAGGGGAAGCAGGGATCAAAGCGATCCTGCAGCACTTTGATCCCTTTCCCCCTACACTTGCTAAGCCCCACTTAGATTTCTTAATTTTGGATTAGAAAAGGAAAAATACGGTAAATGGGTGGCCAGTTCCTGAAACTTGAGAACTAGGCTGTGGGGCAGAGAATGGATGTCTGGGTCCTTGGGTGTAGGGTTATGGCAGACCAAGTCTGTCTGTCCTGGTGACCTCCCGTCTCAAGAAGCGGTTGCTGAGGATTCAGAGGCAAATCATTTCACTTCTGAATTCTCTATCCTGCCAGTTCAGTGGTTTGAGGATGCTATGAGTTGGGAGATGTTCTCTGGCCATCCTGCCTCGTGTCTTCTAGAACTGGTTTTGGAGATCCTGCAGAAAGTTCTGCTCACCCTCACCAGGAAGGCCTTGTGTTAGCTGTGAAACAACCATCTAGATGTTCTTCAACCGATGGTCTTGTTCAGAGAAGGGAGTCGCGCTTGGTAGTGCAGGAGAGGCTTCACGTGCAGAAGGTTGCAAGTCCAGCTTCTCTGCCTTGCCAGGTTGGGGTAAGAAAAAGTCCCCCCCCCCCCAAAAAAAAATCAGGAGAGCCTATTGCTGCCAGCCAGAGTTGACAGTGCTGGCCTAAACGAACCCAGATAGACGATGCGAGTCAGAAATAACTGGAGGGCCGTGCGTTTCCTGCTCTCTCCCCCCCGAAAGACTTACAGGAAATCTTTCCTTGGAAAGAAGTCTCTAATTTTAAAAGCCTTTGCAAATGTCGTCTCTCTTCCTAACTGTTGGTTTGACACAAAGCTGTAATTCAACCCAGTGCTCAAAGCGATGTGATTTGTGGAACTTTAATTGCAGAGTGCATTTGCTTGTGGTGAAAGCTGCTTGCGTGGCATGCTGGGTTGGGTGTGTGTCTCTGTGTGTGTGTATGTGTGTTGGGGAGCGCTTCCATTTCCCTTCCTTTGCTCCATCCTGTTCCGCTGCATGGGAGGAACATAGTTATGGTCCCTTCTTTGGCACGGTGCCCCGGACGCTGGCTGTTGAGGGAAGGGCTGGCGGCCCAGTGATGTGATAGGAGAAAAATGCACAGTAGACATGGAGGTGAGGGACCAGTACCCTGCTAAGCTTTTTTTTCCCTATAGAATTTAGAAAGGCTCTGTATCTCAGACTGCAGCCCCAAGGATCTCAGGCCACAAATAAGCCCATGGGCTGTGTCTGCTAGGCATAATTCCATGTATTTGTTTATTTTTGGACTCCAGATCCTGGAGTTCTCCATTTTGGGAGAACTGGCTCCGAGAACCACCCACCCCCTGTTGCTCTGCTGACCTGGAGAAAGGCCAGGCTGGAGGGCTGAGGTTCTGGTGCTTGGTCTCTGGTCCCCAGGCGAGCCCCCTTGAGGTGTGGGTTTGGTGGGAGAGCTACCAAACTATAGCCTGGGTATAGGCCTAATCCTGCTGCTTTGGCTTCTGAAATGAGCCAGGACTGGCGGTTAGGAATAGTACAGTGGTGCCTCGCTTAACAACGATAATCTGCTTCAGGAAAATCACCATTAAGTGAAAACATCGTAAAGCGAAAAACAAAAACCCCATTGAAACCCGTTCAATGCGTTCCAGTGGGGTAAAAAATATCACCGTCCAGCGAAGATCCTCCATACGGCGGCCATTTTCGCTGCCTGTATAGCGAGGAATCCATCCCTAAACACAGCAGGGAGCCATTTTAAGCACCCGGCGGCCATTTTGAAACTGCCAGTCAGCTGTTCGAAAAATGTTGTTTTGTGAAGAATTGGTTCCCGAAGCAGGGAACCGATCATTGCAAAGCGAAATTCCCCCATTCAGACTATCGTTTTGCGGTCGCAATTGCGATTGCAAAAAGATCGTCGTTAAGTGGATTCATCATAATGCGGGGCAATCGTAAAGCGAGGCACCACTGTAATAGAATTACTGTAAACATAATGATTAGAGGTGTGCAGTGTTAGCTTTTCAGACTAAAGCACATTTCTAGAATATCCTCAGGGGGAAAAGGGGCCTTCTTTTGGTCTCTTTTGGAAGATTTACTGTTGGGCGTAAGAGAGGAAAAGTTGACTAAGCAGCAAAACAGGGCCTTTCTGCCGCCCCTAAGCCACCCTTTTTTGCTTGCTTTCAGAGTTAAATTGGCCCCGCGTCTCCCGGAAGCCATGTGGCTGATCCGAGTCCTAGCACTGGTCACTCTGGTGGCCGCTGTGCCTCCAGAAAGCAAGAAGGCCAGCGAGAAGAAACCAGCCTCAGGAGAGAAGAAGCTGAGCGAGAAAGCAAGCGCCCTAGCTGACCGGAGCGCCAACCTGGCCTTCAGCATCTACCACGCGATGGCCAAGGACAAGGACATGGAGAATATCCTGGTCTCCCCCGTGGTGGTGGCCTCTTCACTCGGAGTGGTGTCCCTGGGAGGCAAGGCCACCACAGCCGCCCAGGCGAAGACCTTGCTGAGCGCGGAGAAGCTGAGCGACGATTACCTCCACGGGGGCCTGGCGGAGCTCCTGAGTGACGTGAGCAACAGCACGGCCCGCAACGTCACCTGGAAGCTGGGCAGCCGCCTCTACGGGCCCAGCTCCATCAGCTTCGCCGACGACTTTGTGAAGAACAGCAAGAAGCATTACAACTACGAGCACTCCAAGATCAACTTCCGGGACAAGAGGAGCGCTCTGAAATCCATCAACGAGTGGGCGTCCCAGACCACCGACGGCAAGCTGCCCGAGGTCACTAAAGACGTGGAGAAGACCGACGGGGCTTTGATCGTCAACGCCATGTTCTTCAAGCGTAAGTGGAAGCCGACGGGGTTCGTTGGAAGCCAAGGGTGTGTGAATCTGGCTCTCTTCGGGTCAGTAGGAACCCAGGTTTCCAGATGACCAAATATCTCCTCCTTCCCTGAGACACCCTCCGTTCAGTGCTGTCTTTAAGTTTCTGTGATCATTTTTAGAAGTTGAAATAACCCCTCTTAAAAACTCACCCGTTTGGCAACAGTTTCTCCTCCTGACGTTTCTGTAAAATTGAATTTTGACTTTGAGCTGAAAGAAGCTCCCAGTCTTGTTTTATAAGCAAACGATGTAATAGATCAGTGGTTCTTAACCTTTGTTACTTGGATGTTTTTGAACTGCAACTCCCAGATAACCCCTCTTAAAAACTCACCCGTTTGGCAACGGTTTCTCCTCCTGACGTTTCCGTAAAATTGAATTTTGACTTTGGGCTGAAAGAAGCTCCATCTTTATAAGAAAACGATGTAATAGATGAAAGACTTTTGAGTTCATTTCGTAAAAGAGCGATTGAAAGACTGGGTTGGTTTCCCACCTTTTGAGTTCATTTCGTAAAAGAGCGATTTCTGGCTTCAACGCTGTTAGAACATGTCTTGCTGATTAGACCAGTTACTGTCTCTGCTGGGGGAGCGTGAAAGCCACAGCGCCTCCTTGTGGCATGACAACAGCACCTGGTAGCCAGATATACTGCCTCTAAATATAGAGGTTCTGTAAAATACCCTGGCTAGAATCTTCTTGATAAACTGACCCAGCCTTGGTTTCTCGAGGTGGCGATGCAGCTGCACTTAGCACCTCCTGTCTTGAATTGACGGGAGGAAGATGGGACGTAAATAGAACTAAGCATACCCCTTGTAGAATTTGGGTTTTCCAAAGATCAGCGTGGAACTGCCAGGGTATTCATCTGATCCTTTGGAGTATTTGAATCCTCACGTTTCTTAGCTTTAAATACCGTCTCTTAATTACGTAAACCAACTCGAGTCCTTTTAAACGAGAAAGGGTGGGATAAAAATACTTTAAATAAATACATAAAGCCCCAGCCTATATGAGTTGAGCTGTAACAAGTCTTGTGAGCTTTTACATTTTTTAAAAAAAATGGGTGATGTTTCAATGGCGTTTGGTTGGAGGTCGTTAACTTCACCCATTCCTTTCTCTAATCCACGGATTCTTCGATTTCACAGCCCACTGGGATGAGCGATTCCACCACAAGATGGTGGACAATCGTGGCTTCATGGTGACCCGTTCCTACACCGTTGGCGTCCCCATGATGCACCGCACAGGTAAGCCACCCTATAGCAACCTCTTTCCTATGTCTTTTGACACACGTGCCCATGGCCCAGCTTCCAAGATTCTGCCTCTGAGTCTGTAACCCTGGCTTATTGTTCTTGAGGTCTAGCAGCTTGCTCTTTTGAGTCTCCTTCATGGTCAGAAATAAGTGTTTCCAGGAATTTTGCTTCCAATATTTTGAGACCGTGGATAAGTGAATCAGTGGATATTGATCCCACAGATATGGGGGTCCTACTTAGATGAAGGACTGGGTTGGTTTCCCGTTAAGGAGAGGGACCGTTTCCTAATGATTAAACCCAGGGATCCTCCCACAACTGGTATGTAATGCACCCAGTACTGGTTTCTCTGTGTGGGACAGAGAAAGGCTGGAATACTGTACTGTGCTAGTGATCCTCAACAGCCAGCCGCCTTGGGCGTGAAGGAGACCTAACTAGCAACCAGGGAGGCTGTGGTTGCTAATTAGAGATGTGCCATGGTGCTCAGGAATTATGGGAGGTGTAGTCCAAACACACACCATTTGCACATCTGCTTTCAATCCAGCCTGGTGCCATCTGATGACCCAGTGCCTTGTGTTTGGGAGCAATGAGTCCCACCATCCTGCAGTTAGCTAGCTGGCTGGGGTTTATGGTGGTTGGAGGCGCGACCCGTTTGAAGCGGGTTCTCCTTTTTCCTCCCTGCTTTCCCTCCCCTCCGCACGGCTTTCCTGATCTGTTTAACTCTTGTTTCTGAAAGGCTTGTACAAATACTACAGCGACGAGGCGGAAAAGCTGCAGATTGTGGAGATGCCGCTGGCGCATAAGCTGTCCAGCATGATCTTCATCATGCCGAACCACGTGGAGCCCCTGGAGCGGCTGGAGAAGCTCCTGACCCGGGAGCAGATGAAAACCTGGCTGGGCAAACTGAAGGAGAGAGCCGTGGCCATCTCCCTGCCCAAGGTCAGCCTGGAGGTCAGCCACGACTTGCATGTGAGTATCTGGGGGCCCGTCTGCTCGGGAGACGTTTGAACACGAGGGTTGGAATTTTTGTGGATCCCTTTGCTATTTGACCTGCCAGCCGGGAAACTAAATTCTCTGGAACAGTTTTGAGAGAAGTCCAAACGGATGAGTTAGTAGCCATTCAGTCAGGGTGGGCGGTTCGCAGGCTGCGAACCATAGAGATAGACAGAGTGTGGACTGCATGCACCGTATATAAATCATTTGGGGAGGCAGCCGTTCTTGGGGGGCTTCCTTCCACGGTGCCATTTTTCCCCCCCGTAAATCTGGGGCGGAACGTCCTACCCCGGCCTGACCTATTTCTCATCCACCTCCCCCTGCGTTTTGGTGGGGAAAACGAATGGCTTGCCATTTCCCACCATCAATAACAGGACATTGGAAAGAAGAGATGGCAGTGTATGTAAGATACACGGAGCATCAGTATAAAAGGATAATGCCAGATGGGTAGGAATGGCAGAAGCGAGGGCAGAAGAAACTAGGCAGCATTCCAGAAAAGGAGACAAGAGCCTGGCAATATAGGTCTAACGCTTAAAATAAAAGGGGAAGAAAATAAATGGAATGAATACGGCATAGAGCCGGTATAACCCAGCGGCAGAGTTGGGGGCTCACAAGCTCCAATCTAAAACAAGGACTTCCCAAGGAAAGGCGACAGCTGAGATCACCCAGAGCAACGTAATGGGTAGGCGTCCTTCCGTCTCGAGAGACGAGGGTCACGTGCTCTGAATAGAGGTCTCGGAACAGCGTCTAGTGTGGCTGAGAAGGCCAATTCGAGAGTGTTTGTCTGTGGTTTATTGGGTGACGTGCCCTGCCAGTAGGGCCACCTTGAGCCTCCCACCAGGAAGGGGGACCGATAAATCGCCTGTGCATCAGCCAGAGCAAGAGTCTAAAACTGTTGCAATAAATTAGAATCCACCAAATGGTGCATGATGATGATTAGGAAGCATAAGGGCGCATCGCAGCTGAAGGGGGGAAAGCAGCTGGTAGAAATAGGAAAAGGGGCACAGGAAGCTGAAATCCAAAAAAAAAAAGGGGGGGACCCGGTGAGGAAGGACTGCCAGGACTCAGGGCTGATAAAGAGAGACGAAACCTCATGTTCTTGACTCGGCCGCGTCCCGTCTTCCCTTCTGCAGAAGCACCTGGCGGACTTGGGTTTAACGGAAGCCGTCGACAAGAACAAGGCGGACCTCTCCAAGATTTCGGGCAAGAAGGACCTCTACCTCGCCAGCGTCTTCCACGCGGCCGCGCTGGAGTGGGACACGGAGGGGAACCCCTTTGACGGGGACATCTACGGCCGGGAAGAGATGAGGAACCCCAAGCTTTTCTACGCCGACCATCCTTTCATTTTCCTCATCAAGGACAATAAGAGCGATTCCATCCTCTTCATCGGGCGGCTGGTGCGGCCGAAAGGAGACAAAATGCGGGACGAATTGTAGGGGGGGAGGGAAGAGAGTGTATGTGTGTGTTCCTGTATGTTTGTACGTGCGCATGTGTTAGAGTTGGCTTGTTTTTTTTAATGGGGGGGTGTGATGGTGTGTATCTTCTACCAAGTGGTGCTTGTAGGCTCTTATGTCAGTAAGGCTGCAATCCTGCGACACAGGAGTAAACCTCTCAGGACTTATTTCTGTAAAGCCCTACAAAGAAACTTTGCAGGTTGTGAACAGTAGAGGAGATCTTAGGCCAAGTTTAGGGGCAACGGAAAGTCTGTTCCCCCCCCAAAAAAAACCCACACAGCTCTCCCTCTGCTCTGTTTTTTAAACTTCTTTATCTTAAGCTCTTTCTGTCTTGTGATGCTGTTCTTGGGATCTGTCACCACTCAGAAAAGCCTCTGTTTTTCAAATAATTTAAACGAGTGAGTTTGGCGCTCGTAGCCTTAGTGGTCCCGGACCAAGATGAGGGAGGCTTTTAGTTCTTCATATTTGCTCCCCTGAATGTGAAGTTAGGAGGGTCAAACCACACACATTCATACACATCGGCTGCAAGGGTTGAATTAAATCTGTGACTTTGAAAAATGGATGCTGAGACTCACTTTACGGCAGGCAATTCCTCAGCTGCAAACGCCCCACAGAAATAGTTTTTCTCCGGTGATCCATAGGGTCCCTTCCACCTCTGCAGTTCTAAGAGGAGGAGGAGGATGATAAATGGATTTTCAGATGATACATTAATGCCCCAACATATCCTTTCCAGTTAAATCCAGACTCCTGTGGCACTGGAAAAAAGATTTTGTTTGTTCACACGACGATGCACAAACAATGGAAGCATAGCTTGCATTTGAGTTTCCTTTCTGCCTCTCAATTGCACCTCCGGCGAGCCAGGGTGGCATGCGCCAATCCCGGGGGGGACACATGGCCAGCTCCCTCATGGGTCGCCTTTTCTGTTTGAAGCAGCATCAGTTCCTGGCTGATCTGTCAGTGGGCACAGACCAGAAAGTTACTCTGCTACTGTATAGTTAATTTATTTTTGTACTTCTCTGAGCAGTGCAAGGGAACCGACAGCTTGAGTGGAGGAAGCGCCACTGAACAGGCTCGAAGGTGAAAGGTAGCCCTGCGCCCTGAACAGATTTATACGGCCCCCTCAGGAGTCACAGTTTTATCTGGATCAGTGACTCACGGCCCTGCCATGGTGTCGGAACAGAGTGTGAATAAATATACTGTATATAGAATTGCAGAGCTGGAAAGAATTTCGTCAAGGGTCACAAACCCTTATGAGATGGCCAAAGTCTTGGAGCCTCAGTTTCAGGATCTGTCCTTCCAGTGAGCACTCGGGGTTGATTTCCTTCAGAACGGATAGGTTTGTTCTCCTTGCAGTCCAGGGGATTCTCAAGAGCCTCCTCCAGCACCAACATTCAAAAGCTTCCATTCTTTGGTGGCCCAGCTCTCACTTCCATACATCGCTACTGCTCTAGGCATGGTGCTTTAGAAATCCTGCAGCCACCATGCAGTCCACCCAAGACGCAGCTGTGGTTCCCCGTGCTGCATCCTCGTTGGAGAGAAGCCATCTTGCTGGGAGACAGGCCATGCAGTGGGTCTGATGCAGGAGGGTCAGCCAGGTTAATGTGTGGCCCTCTGTAAAGAACGTCAGGCAGACTGCCCACCCTGCTTTCTCCCTCTTATGCATAGATACCTGTGCATGTGGCCCCTTGTCTTTGGAGATCTAATGTCTGCCGTCAAGGAATGGAAGCTGCGGCAGCTGGTGAGGCGGGGGAGAACTCGGGTAGATGACATATTCGTTGGTCAGGAGCATGGTGTGGTCTGTGTTGAGGAATTCAAGGTGGCCTCTTGCAGTGAAGGCAGCCAAGTCTCAAGTGAAAAAGTGGGATGAACTGCGGAAAACTAGCATCGCATGAACCTTGTTAGGCCGAGATGCCAGCAGGCTTTCTTGGGATGTATGTGATGGTGACGGGTTCCCACAACAACAAACTGGTGCAGGGCAATTTTGGGCCAAGGAGCGCATAGGCACAGCTGCTGGGAACAATGGCTGCAGAAAGTAGGCAGAGGAATAACGTAGCAGCTGCCTGCTGCAGTATATAGTGTGCGAATAATGATACTTTACACCACCCTCTCAGTGAAGCCTTGTTAGTGCTATGTAGACTTTTTTCCTCCTTTTTTGCTCTTGCAGGAGGGAGTGGGGTGGAGGGCAAGATGGGGCTCAGAAAGGACATGTAATGTGAAAATGCAGATCCTGGCCCTGTGACCAACCTGTGCATGGAATTCTGGTGCTGTTCCCCCACTTAGAAAGGGCGAAGAAACACTTTTGGCGAGACGGTGAAGCTCTTTTTGTGTTTGTGATGTGGCCGCAAGCGCCTGGTTGCCTTACTGTCTGTTACCACACAAAACTGATGTAAAATTTTTGCAATAAAATATTTTCCAGTGTGTTGGCCTTTTGTTGCAATTAAACTCAGACAGCCAAGATGCAAACAAATGTTGAAGTTAAAGGGGAAGCTTCTGTAGAAGGCCTACCCAAAAGTTACGATTAAATGAGATGCCATAGATTAAAAAGTCTGAATTCCCAGTTCCACACCCCCAGTGAATGATCATGGCAGACAGGATTTGAACCCAGGTCTCCTGAGCCTAATTTGCCACTATAGCCTTTACCACACCACTAAACCTCTTATCAAAGCCTTGTACAAATAACAAAGATGTTCATGTCACTGAATTCTACCCTAGGATCAAGAATCAGTTTGTCTACTAAAACTTAACAGTAGCACACATGCCAAAAAAAGAAGCTTCCAGTAAGACTCCAGCCGCCCTCGTGACACAGGCAGGATACTTGGCCAAAAACACGAGGACCCTCAAAGAAGGTAATTGTTAAAAATTCGGCAGCTTAGCAATGGGCTTGAACTAAATAAATCACCAAATTCATTCAAAAATGGCTAATTCAGATTTGTACCATGCCCCTGATGAATACAAATAATTTTTTTGTGCTTTTTGATTTGTCAGTTCATTTCGCTGTAAAATAACCCCCAAAGCACCACAGTTGCAAGGACAGTTCTAATCCCTCTCTTCAGTCCCTCCCAAGTTTGATAAAAATTGGGTTTCCCCCAAGCTACCTCAAGAGCATGTTCCTGGTGGTGGTGGCGAGACGTGGGTATGTAATTTAGATGTCTGAAATCCAAACTTGGGAGAGATTGTAGAGGAGTCAGTAGCAGCTTCTCTTGGCATATTGAGATGCCCAGGGGTGGGCCTCCTGTGTGTATAACTCGGGTTGACTTTTCTCTCCTGAACCTCCATTGGAGTGGATGTCCCCCTGGTTCTGGGATTGCGTGAGAGGGAAAAGAGCTTCCCTCTCTCCACTTTATATCCACCCCCTTCATGGTTTTGTGGTCTCCATCATGTCCTCTCCCGCACCTTTTCTCCAGCATCAAAAGAGCCCCAAATGCTGTCGCCTTTCCTCATAAAAGGGAGGTGCCTCAGCCCAGTCCTCATTTGAGTCGCTCTGTTTCTGTATTTTTCGACTTATATCTTTTCTGAGGTGCAGTAACCAGAACTGTACACAATAGTCCAGGTGTGGCCTTACCAGTGTTTTGTACAATGGCATTATAAGGTTGGCTGTTTTATTTCCAATCCACTTTTTAATGATCCCTAGCATGGAATTGGCCGCCTTCACTGCTGCCACACACAGGGTTGACCCTTTCATCGAGCTGTCCACAAGCACCCTGAGATCTCTTTCCTGATCCGTCATAGAACCTTTCAGCTGATAACTAAAGTTTAAAAAAATTTTTTTGCCCCAATGTGCTTTACATTTTCTTATTTTGAAATGCATTGGCAGCTTTGCCGCCCATTCTCCCAGTTTGAAAAGATCCTTCAGGAGCTCACCCTTCTGGTCTTCACCACCTGGAAAAGTTCTGTGTCATCTGCAAGCTTGCCCACCTCACTGCTTATCTTTGTTTCCAGGTGATTTATTAACAGGTTGAAAAGCTCCAGTCCCAGGACAGATTTAGGAACAGGTTGAAAAGCTCCAGTCCCAGGACAGATCCCTGGGGCACCCCGCTCTTCACCTCTCTCCATGGTGAAAATTGCCCCTTGACACCTACCCTGTTTCCTGGTTCTCAACCAACTCTCAGTCCATCAGAGGTCCTGCCCTCTTATCCCCCATCTGGAATTTTCTCAGCAGCCTTTGGTGATGGACACCAGATGCCTTCTGAAAATCCAGATAGACAATATCCACAGGTTCGCCTGTCTCCACCTGCCTGTTGGCCTTTTCAAAGAATTCTAAAAGGTTTGTGAGCCAAGACTTGGCCTGGTGGAAGCCATCCCTCAGCAAGGCTTGTTCTTCTATATGCTTTAAGATTTTATCTTGGATGAAGCTTGTGAAGGAGATGAGCAGGAGCGTGCCATTTGCAGTGATTGAAGCAGTGATGGAGGAAACTGAGAACAGTGGAGAAATGATGAGGCAGGAAAACAAGAAATGGTAGCTGAGGAGAAAAGGGGGAAGGTAGAAGTTTGTTTGGTGGAAGAAAGGAAAGGCAGAGGAGCAAAAAAAAATGTCAATGTGGGAGGAAAGTATAAATAATCAGGGTGATTGTTGGTTCGGGGCAGAATTAAGAGAACTGGATGAAAAAGAAGAAGAGAGACGTGGAGAGCTGGAGTATAAGAAAAATCTGGAGTATAAGAAAAGTCAAGAATTACTTAAGGACTTTCCTAACCTTAAGGTGGGTGGGTTACTGCCAGACCCTCCACCTAAGGTGGAATGGTGTTTGAAACAGGAGTGGACGGTCATAGTGTCCCCGACGGGACAGGGGCGTGGGAAGCAAGTGATCCGACCTGACAGGAGATACAACTCCCCTCCGAAGGAAGGTGACCGGCCCCAGCACCCATGCTGCGGCACCATCTGCACAGTGTGGAGTGCACCTCCCCAGAGACCTACGGATCAGGAGCGGTTTGGCCGAGCACCCCAGTTGGGAGTTGGGGAGGGAATTCTTGTACCCTAGTTATGGCCTGTTGCCAGAATTGACATGTTTCGACCCAATAATGAATACAGTTGAAGATTTTGGAACTAATAAAAAAAGAAGACATGAGCGCACTTAAAATATTTCCAATTTTATTTTCCGCGCCAAGAGGAGTTGCCTGAAGTAGAAAAAGAACCCAATCACAAGGCTCTCCACCATCTTCCCTGGAACAGATGTTTAGGATAACCGGCCTGTCATCTCCCCCATCCTTCCCTTTTTAAAGACTGCCATGACATGTGCCATCCTCCAGTCCTCTGACACTGTGGCCGTTTTAAGGGAGAACTTGTCTTAGTTAAGAGATCAACAACTTCATTTCTCAGTTCCTTAATAACCCTTGGGTGGATGCCATCTGGGCCCAGTGACTTCTTGAGCCTCAATTTATTAGGTCTAAAACATCATCTCTTCAAACCTGTATTCATTAGTGAGGAAGGGCGGTTCGGGCAGTGGAACCTGCTCAAGGTCTTGTCACGTGAAGACAGATGCGAAGAATTCAGTGCATTTCTCTGCAACCTCCAAATCCCTTTCCCTTACTCCACCATCCAGAGGGCCAACCGCTTCTCTGGCAGGTCTCCTGCTTCTAACATATTTAAAGAAGCTTTTCTTTTTATTTATTTAACTTATATGCCGCCCACACTACCCGAA